AGAAAATTAATTTTATATAGCTTCGATTACTCATCGCTTGTATATTTATGCACACTTCGAATTTTCGTTTTTTTTGTACACTTCCAAAAAGAAAATTATTAAAAAAACAATTTTAAGAGGGGGAGGGGAATTAACTTCACATTAACCCTTCAATTTCGAGTTAGAGGTCTCAAATTGGATCGAAAAAATAATGGGTTTGAAATAGCACTAATCGATATTTCCTAGATTTTTTTAAAACATAAACACATTTTGATGTAGAAAAAATGCAACAGTCTCTTCAATTAATTAACTTCATTTTTTTAACATAATGTCTGCATTTTGAGCTTAAAAACATTACGACACTTGTCTTCAAAACTTTAATTGTTAATGACTTTTTAACTAAAGATGTGCAAACGAAAATCTATCGATTGGTGTTATTTCTAAACTATTTCTGTTGAATTAAATTTGATTTAAATTGAAAACATATTTTATGTAAGTGTGAAGTTGATTCCCCCTCCCTCCACTCATTTGTTAATAACTTTTTAACTAAAAGTGAACAAACGAAAAATTGAATTGTTTCAAAATGTTCAAACGAAAACCTATCAATTCATGCCATTTTCAGCATAGTAGGTGCGATTTGAACTTATTTATCGCTTTCGACACTTCTTGAAATTTTAATTGTTTATAACTTTTTAATTAAAGATGTGCAAACGAAAAATCAAATTGTTTCGAAATGTACAACCCAGCAAACGAAAATGGATTAAAATGGATTGAAATTTTTTTCTCCGAATGCGTATTTTAAATAGCGAATGCTTTTTTTGGATTCAATTAAATTCAATTAGATTGAATTGGATGCAATTGGATTGAAAAATTGCATTTCCTATTCAAAATTTTGAATTGAACAGTATTCACAATATGTGTGTTGTGCATAGAAAAAGAAAATATTATTTTTAGATTGAAAAGCATAGATATGCTCCATGCAATTTCTATAAATGAATAAAAGTTCATTCAGAATTGAAAAGCATTCATTTTAACATTCGTGAATCAATATTTCTGAAAATCTGAATCCATTTCAATTCATTTCAATCTATTCTCGTATGCTGGAAAATGAAAATTTGTTGATTAAGACCTTTTCGATCCAATTTTTTCGAAGTTGGAGGTCTAGTGTGAAGCCTTCCAAAATTGTTTTTTTTAATAACTTTCTTCCTAGAAGTGTAAACGAAAAGTACATAAATGTGCAAACGATGAACAATCGAATGAGCTATATAAAAATAATTTTCTCAAAAGTTGAGGGGCCAACTTCACACAGATATTGACACAGTTCTTGTGTGCAGGCAGAGCGGTCTAAACTAAGTCGAAAAGTCTTTAATAATTATGAATACTTAAATTTGTTAAACATTGAGATATGATCTAATAAAAAAAACATTTATTATTATATGATAAATTTTATCAGTTTAATAATTTAACACTAACACCTAAGTTCTGGGCTCATAGCTCCTCATTTTATTAATTTTTAATTGTTATTTTAATTATTGACTTTGTACTATTACTTTAATTTTAAATACATTTTGCCTGTGCTATTAGAAGATTTCGTTTAGCTAAGAAAAATGGAGGACAATCATGCCTAGTTTCAGAGCAGGAATCTAGCATCACACGCCGTTCGCGCTGGTGCGTAGCCATTGCTGCTTGTAGTAAACAACTCGCGCGCTTAGCAACCAGATTACTGGGTAGCTGGGTGGCCATTTCTCGTTATGCGCTTGGATTTGGCAGTAAGCCGGATTTATTCAGCAATTTTTAGTAATTAATTTCTCGTTAACTATTGCGAAAATTACAAAATGGTACATGAAAATTATTATTGAATAATGAAAATACACTTTTTTTTATTTAACTATGTATAAAATTTCTTTATGTGCATGTTCATGTAACACTATATATAATCTTATTTCAAGATTTATATTAAAAAAAAAAGATCCCAAAATAAAAATTTTTTTTTTCTGTGTACTAATCTATTGTAGTACGAGTGGCCAACTCACTATAAATCTATTTAACGTTGATTAATCTATTTAACGTTGTAGACGACCCTGTGTCGCTTTCCTTGATTATTTTCCGTACTTTCACTCATAATTGCAGCGATGTTTAATAACAAATTAGCTTCCTCGTATTTTCTTCCGAGTGTGTGGCTATGATTCGACTGCGAAGGAAAGCGGGCGCACGATCGGAAACTTCGGATTTCTGACAACGATTCTACCATATTTTGCAACGTGATTGTAACATTAATGGTGGTATTCACCATTGAAATTAAGGTCGGAGGTCTCTCTCTCTCCGGGACACTCTGTATTACGCGGCAGGAAGCCGCATAAATAAATATATCATCGTGACTGCATAATCGCAGTGCTTATTACGAAATGATATCAAGTTCTGTCGAGTGTCGAGGGAATATGAAATAGCTATGTTGATTATACTTGCCCAGTAAATAAGAAACATTAAATCAACATTTCAACAGAAGTATTTATTTTATATGAATTTTATCAATATTTTTTTATGTAATATTTTATAAATATTTTAATAGTATTATCTAATACTCTCTCTCTCTCTCTCTCTCTCTCTCTCTCTCTTACTTTTATTCTTATATTTCTTTCCTATTCGACGGAAAGAGTGTCACTACGTTGTATGTCACCTGATGCACACTAATGCACAGTCTATCCATGTAATGATGCGTTCGAGGAGTCGCTATTAGCGCTACTTCTATCATTCTATCTTCGTTATTTATTAGACGTAAAACAAGGATAGAATGACACAACAGCGTCTCCCCGAACGCATCTTGAATATAAGATCAATAAATACAGAAAAATGTGAGTTTTTCTATTTGCTGTTATAAGTTATAAGTCCAGGACGCCGATATATCGCTATACGTTCCTGCGATCACTAATTATGTATAATAACCGCACGCGTACACACTCGCGCCATTTTCCCTGAATAACTCACGCGTGCTCTTTCGACCAGTACACTGGTCACATTTAACTGATCACGTAAAATGGAATTACGGAGTATCGGAGTACTTAATGAATATTGGTGGATAACGTGGAGAACGGCGCGAGAGAATGTCGCGCGAGTGAGAAAACACAGCCCGTCTCGTTCCACGTTCCACGTGCGCGCCACATGGATCCGCCATGAGTGGTAACGTAGCGCGGCTGCGCGGCGAGGAGAGGTGGATGTGAGGCCGAAGTCGTCGAAGAGAACGAGGTGACACTCGGCGAGTGGAGCGTCTGCGCACCTGGTTGGCCCTGGCGCGGCTGCTTCGAGATTCGAGATTTTGTGCCTTTCCTTTCCTTCGCCGCTCGCCGCGCGTCGTCGATTTTCCTCGGCGCGGCGGCTACGTTTTGTCATCGATGGGAGAGCGAAGCGACAATCGAAAATTCGCGAGCTAAAAATCTCTGTCACTTTGCCGCGCTTTCCCATCCTTAAGTAACTTTCAACTTCCATGTTTTTCGTTCCTGAACGTAGACTTGTTCTTTAGTTGAACTTTTTGCATCTTTCCTCTTTTCATATTGGAGAGAAAAAAAGAAAAGATAAATTGTACATATGCCAAAAGTGCAGCTAAAAGAGAGACAGATTTTCGTTAGATATTTTCCATTTCTCACTTTCGCCGTTTCTCTTTTTTGCGCTTGATTTCCTTATTTCTCTTCCATCCTCCTTTTTCGTTCAGCAGTCGAGCAGATACTCGACATTGTCTCTTTTTTCCTTCTTTTGAAAGGAGTAAATAATCTACTAGCAACAAACAATGCTCAGTTAACATAGTGATACGGGTATTTCTCTCTCTCTCTTTCTCTCTCTTTCTCTTTTCTCTCTCTCTGTTCGTATTTCTTCCTTATTCGCGGTAAATCCGATTTTCGAATACTCATTATTTTCACTTATGCATCCGCTCTAATCCGCGTATTAGCGCAAAAAATTCTGCTGAACATTGATGTGTTAATATTTACTGTTCTTGTATCAGTGAATATTCTTTCGCAGTGCGCAACAGGTTCCCTTCTTTCTCCCGTTTTCCCTGTTGTTCTCGTTTGGTTCCCGTATAGGATTCGACATCAGCGTACCCGTACACTTGTCCAACTCGTTATTAACTCACACAGATCTCGAAATTCTGCTAGATTGTTTCATTATTTGCTTTACGAAGAAGTAAAAAGAAAAGAGAAATTGTTTGGGCGTACAACATTTGTGGCATACAACAAGTATTTGTCTCTTTTCCTCCTTCCTTCTCTCTCTCTCTCTCTCTCTCTCTCTCTCTCTCTCTTTTTCTCTTAATGTCTGAGTGCTCGATCTTCTCGCACACCGACGTAACTCGTCATTAACATCGGTTGAAATTCCGCGTGATATTAATTCATTTTTGCTATTTGCTCGACAAGAACGCCTTCCGTACGGCGTGCAATATCTAAACATTTCCTTCTCTTTCTCTCTCCCTCTCTCTCTCCCTCTCTCTCTCTTTTCCCCTCTTCTCTCACTGTAAACTGTAAGACACCTGAGCGAGCTAGGCGCTCCAGCCAACGAGAGAGAGGGGCCGCGTCGACGCGCAGTCGCCAGGTGAGGCAACTACGACGACGTGTTCGCCTCGTTACGGTCGGGGAACGCACGATCAGTGCTGCACAGAACCTTGCAACTTTCGACGGCGCTCCGTCCGCGAGCGACCGAGGGGAAAGAGCGAGAAAAAGAGAGACGAGGAGCATCGAAGTAGCGTCCGCTGCTGCCGTCGAGATCGATTCTGCTCCGCGCGTCTGCTCCGGTTTGCTTCTTTTTTTTTTATTCTTTTTGGTTACTCCAGGTGTGCCGCCGTCAGATCCATAACCTCAAATCGCCGCGAGAAAGAGAGAGAGAGAGAGAGAGAGAGAGAGAGAGAGAGAGAGAGAGAGAGAGAGAGAGAGAG